GGTACTTCCGGTCGTTCTTGTTTAAAGGGAGACAATTGTGATACCATGTGTTGTGGTAGGGGCTATAATGTGCAGAAGCAGATCCAACAAACACCTTGTAAATGTGAAGCTATATGGTGCTGTAAGATTACCTGTAGTGTGTGTTTTTTCGAAAAGGAAGTGTACTTGTGTAAATAGTATTACTGATAATACGGAGGGCATTGTTGGCTGATATTACATGGCACTTACAGAGTTCTGAGGTTTTTTGAAAAACGGATCAACGTCATGGCACACGGATAGTAACCCATAAGTGCTCCGTTCTTCTTCTAACTCATCAACTAACATCCTAGCAATCGACTAATCCAGTCATTTCCTTATGAGATGCAATTTTTCATTATTTGAAACCCCACCCTGGCTCTTGCCAGGGGCCGCAGTATATCGCGACCATAAATATGGTTTAATGGCAGAACGCAATTGCTGGGACCTTTCCACGGGGATCCTCATCTACATGGTGGTACTTTGTGTCATCGGGTGTTTATCGCTTGTTTGATGTCCTGGCGGGGTAAAAATCTACTACTCTAATTTATGTTCGAAGAAGGTCAGCACAGTGCTCAGGCTCTAAAGCACCAGCGAGGATCCTGAAATACTTTGGGTAGATTTTAAACTCCATATTTTGCCCGGGCAGCGCCGTTAGGCTACTTTTTTCGATTTCCAACTGCCAAGGGATTTTTCTACGTGCGCAACAATGCACACGGGCGTCCGATCTCACTACCCAGAGACCAGGGGGCATTACTAGAAGAAATAAATCCCAGCCCTTACAGGGATGGAACTCGGAACCTCTAGCACTCGAGGCGGACACCATGCATCGAGACCACGCAGCCGTTTGGCACTTACAGAGACGACTGGAAAGCAGTATTTAACAGTGAAGACGCGGGCAACAGAGATGTTGGTTCTTTATTAATAACCTACCCCACAGGACGTCATATGACAGTCCAACATTTTAGAGGGCGGTAAGACTGGGTTTCCTGGCTTAATGATGCTTTTAACGTCCCCAAAACATCTAGAACTGGCACTAACCCCAACCCACCTACGTCCCACGAGAGAGTGCAGCCTAGGTCCCACGACTGCATGCAGCCTATCTACCACCACCTGAAATATTAGACTGTCCCGTGACCTGTGGATTTTCCCTGTTTGTGGTAGGATATTAATAAAGCACCGAAATGTTATACAGATTCCGTCTCATGTGTACCCTTAAACGTAAATACCCACCCGCACTGGTTCTTCAATATAACCCTGCTGTATGGCTTTACGCTAGAACGGAGTTTTTGTGATTTGCAAATGCAAAACTGGAGGAGATACATTTAAAAACAAAATACTAATTGCTAACCGACACCACCATATAAATGGGGAGCCGCCTTGTTGTAGCGACTAGGCGCTAGATGCTCGTCTGAGGATCCGAAGGTCGCGGGTTCAGATCCCAACAGAACCTTACTTTTTTTTTTAAAGCGACCTTGGTCCGCAAAATATAGGTATACCATCGTCTATCCAATACGCCTGAAGGCGTGCACGAGGGTCCTAAATTTTTGTGTGTGTTACTTTTACATGCCACGGGCCAACCTGCCTACACAAGGCAACAGATTGCTTCGCGCTACCGTGAAAAACCCTATGTAACTGATTTTTCGGTTAGGCGGATTTTTCGGAGCGTGATTCTATTGGATTTGCATCCCAAATATGGCTCATTGAGTCATTGGGTGTCAGTCTTTCGCTATGCAATCCAGGATGAAAAAAAAAATTACAAAAATTACCTTGACACCAAGGCCGAACAAGCCTTAAATATGTATTAGAAAAAGTCATGGGAAGTAAAAGCGGTCGGTGTGATGTTGACCACATCACCCACAGAGTGCCGGTTGTACTCTATAACATGTATGTCTAGCCCCATACGCCCCTTTCTTTTGGAGTTGTGGAAATGGGTCATTTACTTATCACTCACAACCCGGGTTATCAGATAATTTAGCCGTTACAGATGCCCATATTATAACTATTTGTGAGGACTCAGATTTGGCATGTTAGATTAATATCTAAGATGCGGTTTATTTGGTCGTTGAGGTATAAAACTTGCAGTAAAAACCCTAGAGCAGCGGTTCTCAGCCTGCCGCAAGCGACCCTTTGTTTTGGGTCCAACGATCCTTTCACAGGGGTCGCATAAGACCATCGGAAAACATTCATTTATTGAAATTATGAAGGAAAATAATTGTTTCGGGGTCTCCACAACACAAGGGAACTGTATCAAAGAGTCGCGGCTTTAAGAAGGTTGAAAGCCACCGTCCTATAGGAAAAAAAAAGGGTGGGGGGGGGATGATGTAGCCGTCAGTCTGTTCACCAAACTGAATACCCAAGTGAGAGCTGCACTATGACTCATTTTATATGCCAGCCATCAAAGAGCAAGCCATAATACGGGAGGCTAAAACAAAAGTCGTCATGGCAAAAGATAGATTTCTGCTAGATGAAGAATGTGCCCATGCGTTAATTAAAGGATGGCAACTGCAATGGGACAATAGTGTGCATTTTCTATATAGAACCTGTGTTCCTGATTGCCTGTGACAATTTGTAAAATTAATCAGACAGTCCGATAAACATCTAAAGATGGTGTAGCGAATATACATGCTTTCTGGGAAGCGTGCAACGATTATCATGCATGGCTAGAGGCGCGGATGACTTTCCCAGACTGAATGAAAGAAATAAAAACACGGCATCATCCATTATATGTCATGCCATGATATTCCCGGAAAATTATCTCAGAGGATTAGATGAACGCGAAAGAGGAAGAAGAACAGGAATTGGAAGAAGAACAAGAAGGATCTGATTAGATTTTTCGTTCAGCAACGTTTTTAAAGGGGTTCTCTTTGATATCCTCGTTTGGAGTTAAGACATGGACGATAAGCAAAGATGAGACTTCTAATGAAAACAGTTATGCGGTTTCTGACGGAAATGATTATTTTTTTTTTAAAAATCGCGGACTCAAAGCTCCACCCCCAAACAAATAATAATTCATGAAACCTGGAGATGAGATTTGAACCTGAGAAGATTGTATATATGTACTAGATTTAATTGCCCAGCTTTGCGTGGGATAATGAAAGGAAGTCTTATTCTTCCGTCATTTACCTCATCTTTGTCTCCACCGCTCTCCTATATGTAGGCCTAGCGGATATAGGGGTCCAACTAAAACCCTATATTTAATATTCCGTCTTCGACTTCATCTTTTTCTCCTCCGCTGCCGTATCTTTAGTCATTGCCTCTACCCGAGAATCCCCTGTAATACTAATACAGTATTTAACAATTTGGAAGACAGACACATATAGTTATATGGTTTCAAGGAGGATATCGGCGAAATATAATTTGTAAAATTACCTTTTCTAGGAAAGCAATAAAAAAGAAATATTCAAAGAGGTTTAAAAAGTAAAAATTTACTTTGACAAATTGTTGCAGTAAATAAAGAAATGCACAATAACATGGGCCGCCAATTTGACTGGCAAACTAAAATATAATCTATGTACTTTTCACGGTTTGGGAAGTGTTGACACTTCATTTATGAGGAACATACGAAATACAGAGAGTGTTTGTGATTTAATTTCCCGGCATCGCTTGGGATAGAGTAAAGCAATCTACACTCACTCTAATTGACTGTACTCATCAGATGTATCTCAATACTATGGAATATCATACCATAGAGTGTTTAATATGCTGTAGAGTTCAAGAAAATATGTTTTAAAATCCTATTCTAAAGCCATACGCCAACTTAATACGACAATGTGCCAAGCCTGTGACTCAGAATTATTACTCCTGCGGTTTATTAAATAAACTGACATTGGATGTAATGACATATGTCGTTTATAAGGGTTGAATATGTAACTGAATTTTGAATGACAATACAAGTTTAAGAAGGCACACATTTATGTGCCCTAACAGAACAAACAAACACAAACAATTCTTGGGTCCCTGGTGAGTTCTGCTTATCAGGTGTGCACTGGATGCATATATGCACATGTATGTGCACACATACCTAGACGGCTTGTCACCTGGAACAAGGAGGACAAGAAGAAAAGCCTGATCCACGATTCTGGTGATCCTATAAGATTACAAACCGCGACAGCCAGTAGGTGTCGGAATGGCACGCTATGACTGACAACTGAAAGCAAACAGTCAATTCATATCTCAATGTTATCAAAGCGCTGCCATTTTTGTATTACCTTATAATAAATAATATAGTGTGAAATGTGTTTCGAAATAATGCCTGGCACAATGCCTGGCACTATATATGTGGACTGGCATGGATAACTCAAGGCATACTCATTGTCACTGTCAGTGTGTGACAAAGATGCTTTTGTATGGGTTACCTTTGATTTTAAAATAATGTATTTATTTGTAATCATCATTGTGTCACTCCTTGTAGATGTGCAATGTTTTTGAAGCCATTAATGTATCCCTGTCTTAATCGTTCCATTTTGCACTTGTATAAGATTTTGTTGGACACAGTAAGTCACACTGGGAGCTGCCGTCATGTAGCGGCTAGACGCTCGACTGCGGATCTAAAGGTCAACCCTGTCTTAAATGGCTACCAGGTAAATATCTACACTCGGCGTGATGTTGTTTACATCATCTACCAAATGCTGATTGATCTATAAAGTATAGGGCTTGCCCTGTATACACAATACGCTTGAAGGTGTGGACAAGGGTCCTAAAGAGACACTGGAGAAATACAATGGACAGAGAACAAGGTCAAGGTAACACAGAGAATGAAGTGACGGCATTAAGGAGAATCTTAAGAAATGAATACAAGCTTTTACAACGAGGAAAGAGGAAACAAGAGATCTTTACATTTCACCCTCAACACTTTGATGAAGTAATTGAAAGAAGAGGAGAAGGCGAAGTGACTGTGTTGGTAACTGATGCTGCTGCATTTCAACCAGATGCCGCAAACCATTTAATCTCCATTTTCTGTCAGTGTATTTGACACAAGATGTTTCTCCTACATTCTGGCTATCGTTTCTCACTCGGAAACCCTAAAAAAGGCTAACGAAATTAGAAAAAGTATATACAATAATCGCGGCGTCCGTGGCTAAGGCGTTGCGAGTCCGACTCGTAAGCCAGCATACCGCGATCGAAACCCACTTGCGCGGATTTTTACCGTGGTATGGGAC